ATAAAACACAACTAAATGCAATAATATTTTTCTTATTTTTGGTCGAATTAGTTCAAAGTTATCATATGTAAAATTATTTTAAAAAAAATTATATTCCGGGATATAAGAGTGATATCCCGGGAAATCCCGCTGCCACTTTTATCCCCGGGATCCCGGGAAAACGGGATCCCGGGATCCCGTTTGAGAAACCCTAATCAAGACTATGTTCCAAATATCCTTCTACGGGGAAGTTGGCAGCAGATAACAAAGGTGAAATACCGCGTTCCACCACTTTTAGAGAGGATTCTATGATCGTCATATCCGTCAAGAAGGATTCCTGGATATCATCAGTCGAGATACAAAAGCAATTAGAGCTGCCTGTATCGGACCGAACAATCAGACGATGTGCTGTTGAAGCCGGATTGTTTTCTCAAACCCCTGCAAAGAAACCGCTGAATTCACTAAAGAACCAGAAGAAAAGACTCCTGTTTGCTACATCTCATATTGACTGGAATGTGCAGAAATGGCGGACTGTCCTGTTCAGTGATGAATCAAAGTTTAACATCATTGGGAGCGATGGCATTTGCCGTGTACGTCGACCGGCCGGAAAACGCCTTGATTTACGTTACTGCCATAAGACCGTGAAGCTTGGTGGAGGCAATGTAATGGCCTGAGGGTGTTTTTTTGCTAACGGTCTAGGTCCAATACATCGAAACGATGAAATAATGGACCGTTTCATGTATAAAAATATCCTCAAAGATGCTATGTTTCCTCGTGCTGAATGAAATAAGCCAATAAAATGAGTTTTTCAGCAAGACAACGATCCAAAACACACTGCAAAAGTAGTCAAGCAGTGGTTTCAAAACAACCACCTATCGGTGATGGATCGGCCGCCTCAATCTCCGGATCTCAACCCTATCGTGACTGTCAACCACAGAATTAATTGTGAAGGTGTTCGTAATAAGAATCAACTGTTTGAACAAATCCAAAAGGCCTGGGCAGCGATTTTACAAAGTTTTATTGATTACCTGATCGAATCTATGCCTCGAAGATGCAAGACTGTGATTGACAACAAAGGATTCGCCACGAAATATTGATAGCGAAATACAGCTTGGTCAACATTTTTGTGGAGTTACACTTGTTTTGTCCAGAAGGAAATCAACTTTTTTTTTTAATACTTTTGATTAGTTTATTAATTTTTGTGTACAAATAATGAACTTTGTGATGAATAAAACTTGAAGAACGTTGTCTCTAAACAGTTACATAGTTATTTCTCTAAATTAAAAAAATGCAGCACTTTTATATAAAAAAATTAAATTAGTATTACTTGGTTGCACTTGTTTTGTCCGATACTGTATATATACTTCAATGCATGCCAACTTCTTCGGAGAAAGATCATTTCTTTTACCTTTTTTTTAATATAAAAATATAAAAAATTTATTAAGTGAACTCGTAGTTAATATACATGTAAATACCATTAGTAAAGTTTACCTTTTTCTTCAGTTTTTCTCAAAATTTTCTCAAATAAACACGAAAACGATAGCAGCAATTAAAACCAACAAAAACTTGTCACTCCAGCTATACAGCGGTAATAATTATTGTATGCCAAGGAGAGTTTCTCAACATACTTGTCAAAAAGAATCATTATTATATATATATATATATATATATATATATATATATATATATATATATATATATATATATATATATATATATATATATATATATATATATATATACATATAACCATTAAGGTACTCGAAGACAAGACTTAATCTACGAACTATCTATTACAACAAGGCATTTTCATAAGCTTAACAATATTATTAAATTTTCTTTTATTGTATTATTTTGTTGTTTTTTTTTAATTTGAATTTTCATGCTATATTTTTCTATACAATGTTCTTATATCCGAAGATATTGTCGGCTTAGCATAGGAACAGCACAAATAGTCATTAAGACTAAGTTATTGACCAACACTTTTGCGTACCGAAGTACTACTCAAGCGCTGAGTGGGCGGTGGCAGGATTTGAATTCGTATCTTTCAACTGTCCGTGTTTAAACTTTTTGTTCGACGCTCTAACCAACTGAGCTATCCAGCCACATATTATAAAGAATATATCAACGACTGCCATAAGCAAGTTCCAAGTAGTATAGGGGTACAACGGACTTGCGTATATTTTTAAAATCAATTGGGTAATAGCCAAGAATATATATTATACACCTCAAACACATAACTTAATTATTTCAATCCACTGTGGAACACATAAATTATTAACCTTTCTAATGCATTATAAATAGGTGCGGTGCAGTGCATTTATGTGTGTATTTTTTTGGGAATTTTGTACATATATATAAACTAAACACTTAAATTCCTGATTTTTTTAAGAGCTGGTATTGGTCGAGGTTGTGATGCGAGCTTAGTCCTCAGTGCTGCTAAGACTGACAATTTTTCATATACCTGCTCGGTAGTCAGCAAAAGTTATCACTTTAAAGTTAATGTGAAGTTGAAGTGAAGTTGATTTTTAAGATCTGGGAGAAATTGTGTTGTTACAAGGGTTTGTTCCCGGGTTTCTTCTCGAATCCTATTGTTTTGTTTCTCTCTAATATTCTCTGAAAATTATATTATATAAAATAATTGAAGTAAGCTCATCGAGCTAGTGAGACCGGCTGAGATGAGTGTAATGGGCAACTCGTCTCAATAGAAGAACTCGATGTAGTTAAGGCAATTTTAAAATATTATAGTGTCTGTATGATATTTTGTTGACTACGACATATTTTCGTTAAATGATCATGTGATGTCTGTGAATGTGATGTCTGTGAATTATGAAAAGACAAAAATAATTTAAATGATAGATTTTGCGCTATCATAAAATATAAATGTTTATAGCGAAAAAACCCAAACCGAAGATTCTTTTTAAAAAAAAATCACAATCGCTCGTCCAAATTTTAATAAGATTTTGAATAAATACTTTTTTAGGTGAAATGAATATTATAGTTTAACAATATGATCTGTCCTGTTCATTTATTGGCCACTTTTCTTAATTATAAGCTCTTTCTTGGTCGGAATTCTAGTATTTTTTGTGAAAATTGATAGAAATATTGTGTTTTGACAATTATATATTGCTAATATACGTCGGAACCTATTAGAATTAGGATCAATAGTAAATTAAGGGACTTTTTCAAAAGATTTTAACTAAATTCATGTTAACGCCGATGAGCGGAATTGACCTAAAGACTCCAAAACGGTGTTCTTTAGGTTCACTATTACGGGTAGTCAAAAGGTTTTGAAAATTATATAAAGAAAAGAAAAGTCTCTTTAAATATTATAAAAAGCTAAAGCAAAAAAAATTATAACATTTAAAGATGTTGTTTGGACATAATATACTGACAAAACCATGCTTATTCCAAATAAAAGAATTTGAATAATTTGTAAATTGCCTTAATTACACCGAGTAGTCGCTGAAAATTTCCCGCTCACGAATGTGCGAGAAAAAGTTCCACATACAGGTAGAGCTCCCTTAAAAACTACGCAAATTTTGAAAATGGAGTACATCCGTTACAGGTCAACAACTTGAATTTTTTTTTGTGTGATTTTAAAACACCTACTATAAGGTTTTTCTTCCCTGGATGTTGTTATTTTTATTTTGCCATATTTAGTGAGAATTAGCAGAGTGAATTTTCTGATTTTTTTTAAAGATTCCGCTTAAAAGCTACAAGGATCATAATTGTATTTATATGGATGAAAAATTTCTGAAAGTTCTTTTCTTATTATATCAGAAATTTGTCTAGTATGATATATAAGGAGGCTTGCTAACTAAGTCCAACAAAAAATAGCATTTTAGCAAGTAAAGTCCTTTAAAACCTACACGATTTCCCCCTTAAATACTACATTACATTAGGTAAAATATGCCTCTACATTGTGGAGACATATTTCAAGTGAGTTATAGGCTATTCTAAGTGAGTTTGTGGAGTCCACAAGCTCACTTAGAACAGCCAGGAATAGAGAGAATGTTTATACTGATCTTCTTTAACTAAGAAATGATAAAATAGTTATAACTGGTACCTTTCTAAATAGTAAAACGGTTATTACTGGTACCTTACTGTTTATTTTGTCTAATCAATGCATATTCTTTATTTTTAGTGTTTAAATAAAATAATAGTATGGGAAAACCGCAATTTGATTTTAAGATTTCTGTTGGTAGAAAAAGAGGTAGAACAAAGACAAAGCCAGAAACTCGAGCTACAGTTTACAGAAAAGACATAAGAGCTAAAGAAAATCAAATATCAGAGGCAGTAGATTGGTGCACAGAAAATAAAAAAAAGGACAGGCAGCATTAAAAGCAGGAAAGTTCTTTTAATTAAAGATTGTGGTACAATAGGCAGAAGATTAAATGGCAAAGTTAAGAATGTAAAAAAAGAACATTTGATAGTGTTACATCCAGATGATGAGAAGGAAATAGTTTGTTTTACCAGAAACAAAAACAGAGCGCATCAGGGACTCTCTAAGAAAGAAGTTTCTGAAATTATTTTGGATGTTCTGAAAATTAGAGATCATTTGAACAAAAATGGAAAAGGTAGAAGAAAGTTTATAAATATATCATTAAGTGCAAAAACAGCTCTACAAAATGCAAGGTAAGTAATTTTTTGCTTTAAACTAATTTATCAACATCCCAACAGGTACAAGGGTACAGTAGATATTAAATAGATGTAAAATATTAAACCTTATTATCCGAACTATTTAGACTCGGGAAATCATTTTAGAGAAGATGGCATGCTGAACATGATGATATTGTCATGAAGAGGCAAGGCCGAGTTAAAATGAACAGCTAGGTACACATTTTTCATCACATATTGTTTTTTTAGTTTAGCCTGAATATAAAAAGATCTATTTTCAATTTCATTCCCAAGTGTTCTACAACTTGGTTTTTATTTTTGAATAAGTTTATATGTTTTGTACGTTGATAATTTATGTAACTTGATTATATTATTAATTTTACATTTTTTTTTATTCCAGATGCTTTAGCTGATGATCTGATTGCTTGTAGTATAATGAAAAACTATAAAAAACAAAAAATGGTGTATTGGTTGGTGATATTGTAACAGAAAGAAATTTCAACCATGATGAAACATCACAGTTTGTCAACTACGGTCTAGATAGTACTGCCAATGGATTAGTTTATGCTGGCAAAGGAGAGACATGTAAAAAAAAAAATGATTCGCGAAAACAGAGAGTGCAAAACTATAAACCTATTTTTTCAATTATCAGGTGAGCCAACTAAACAACTTTTTACAACTAAAGTTGTGGCTTTTATAAATTTATATTTTTAAAAAGTGAAATATAATGTTTTTACTTTTAGGAGAGGTTTCATTGTGTCAAGTAATATTTGCTGGCAAAGGTATAACGAGCCAGATGGCACAACAAAAAAGCTGTCATTAATATTAAAAATTTGATCATCTCTAGGACAGAGAGTGGTTCGCAAGATAACTGTTCACTATTGGCTGCGTATAAGAAACTTGATAAACATCTCACCGAACAAGGAGCGATCAGTTGTGCTTCTATCAGATAGTCATTTGTCGCGATTTGACTTTAAAGTTCTTAATTTTTTGCGTGAAAAGCAAATCAATTTATTTGTGTCTCGACCTGATACTACTGGAGTCGCATAGCTAGTAGACCAAGCACCAAATCAACAGCTCCATCAATATTATAATAACACCCGAGATGTACTCTTTTCTTCTTTCGAGAAAGAATCATGAATATCCTTGGAACAATGTGGAACAATTGTGCATCCGCTGCCAATATCGTAGCAGCTGCTAAGAGAGTTGATATAAGTAAGAATGGTCTTAATGTTGATGATATAGATAAATTTGAACAAGCAGCTCTTCTTATTGATAAAACTGATGATGTTTCTCTACAATCTTTTACTGCTAAGAAAACAAGAAGTGTGACCTCAAAAGACGGACCCTTGGCAATAACTCCAAGATCACAATTCAAAGTTGCCCAAACAAAAGGAAGGTATGGTTCAGTCGAATACTGGAAATCAATGTATGAAATGTCACAATCATTCATTGAGCAACTATATGAAAAAAGCCTCAATTCAGCAGAAGTGCCTGGTTTACTTTCAATAAAACCGGGTGAAATCCAAGTAGGTTAATCAAACAAAAACAAAAAGGTTCACTAATGTGCATGGATCTATGGAGGCTCAAGATGTGCTTTTAAAAGTGGCTTTTCTCGAAGGAAAAAAACAGAAAAAAAAATTGTGATTAAGAGTAGAAAATAAATATAAACTTAAAAAAAATGAACTGTTTTATCGTTGCAAACTGCAATACTCTTGTGTAAAATAATGTCTTGCAAAATCTTTAAAAGAGTGTTTAATGTCATTCCATTCTTAAATCAGTATGCAGTAAAATAGCTTGTCGCATTGGTAACAAAAAGCCGACAATGATTATCCCTGCATCTGCAGCATCATCCTCTGATTCTTAAAAAAAAAAACACTCTATTTTGGTTCTGATTCAAATATTTTAAATCTTAATGAATCAAAGATATTTTTTTAGATGAAATGTTTGTTCGTTGCATGTCTCTTTTTCAGAATATTTTATTCTATTCATATGCTTTTTGTCTTTTTATGTTATTCAAAAAATAGCGTTTGCTGTTATTAAAGCTGTTATTGAATTAAATCTTTTCTTGTTATTTTTCATATTTCCTATTATTCAAAATATACATTGTTATTCCATTAAAAGCTAGATTTCCTATTTAAAGCTATTGACCCCTTAAAAACTACATCTACAGCACTGCAAAAAAAAAATAAAAAAAATAAACATCTTTAAGATTTTGTAAATTAGTTAATATTATATTGGTGGATTATGGGTGGAATGCAAGAAGCAAACTTGTGTCAAGTTCGACTTGAACTTTACTTTGTAACCAATAGCGGCAGAGTATTTTTTGAGGGGAAAACCCATACTCTGTCGCTATTGGTTGCAATGTAAAATTTCAAGTCGAGCTTGACTCAAGTTCGCTTCTTGCATTTCACCCTAGAACAAGTCTAACATTATCTAGAAATAAGATAATTGCAAACTTAAAATTAAACTATAAACAGTAGGAGGTCATAAATGCATGAATTGAGCCATTTTTAAAACTAAAAATTTGATTTGCATTCTCTTTTTGAGGATTTTAAAATTGTAAAAGAGGTAAATTTTTAATTAATTTGTCATCAAGGATGTTTAGAGATACTGATTCAATCATTTTTAATACTTTCATTAACATTAGTGGAACCCAGAGCTGAAAGTTTATACGTGTAGTGTTTATGGGGGTATGCTTTTTTTAGGGAATTCTACCTGTAACTAGTCAAAAAATTTTTGAGAAAGAAATCTGTGAAAAAAATAATTCAATAACACTAAAAAAAAAAATTCATCAGCACTACCGAAAAATTTTTGTTAATGCGCATGCCCTAAATACGAGACTGCCGTAATGACCTTGTATTTTAACAAAATATTAATCGTATGGCACCTAGCGCATACTGATCTTCAAACTTTTTTAAAAATTTGTGACTCCCTACTGTGCATTCTGTATGTGGAGAAATGTGGAATGAAATTTCTTTTAAAACATAGCAATTATCGGGAGCTTAGAGGTTTCCACCATTTCAAGGAAACTCAATAATGACTGCACCCCACAGTCATATTCCATTCTGGAAACGAGGAACGGGGTTTTATTCTGAATTTACAAAAGGTTGTTATGATGTAAACCTAAGTGCTGCGTCTCTGGTTAATAGCGTAGTAGAAAAAGTTTTATGCAAGTTTTTAGTCGATGAAACGATTGTATTTGCTGACTATGGAGCTGGAGATGGTGGAACCTCCATGCCATTAATTTATTCATGTATAAAAAAAGTGAAAGAAACTTGCGGAAATAATAAAAATGTTCATGTCATGTATGAAGATCAATCAACAAACGATTTTCTATCTCTTTTTCTTGCTCTTGATGGTAAATTGAGAAAGTATATTAAAAACTGCTGAAATTTTTTTAATACGTCATGTATGAATAACGTATACAAAAACATATAACGTATATGTCGTCGTCGTCGTTCTTCTTTTTATTCTTTTATAATTTTTTCTTATTTGATTTCAATATAAGTTCTTCATCTTTCTTTAAGGTGAAAGTCATTGTTTATCCAAGCTAACTAACATATTTTTATGTGCTGATGTTGTCTTTAATCTTTTTGCATACACTATGTATTTGGTATATTGAAAAGGATATTTCACAGTTTTTTTTCAACATAAAATTAAAGATTTTTTTAAATATCTATGAATATGTATATACTTTTACTTATATTGTTAGGGTATTTGTATTTTTTTTTTTTATATCACTTATTCCTTTTTTAATTGCTTAATTAACTGATGAAAAACTAGCAAATTGCATAATTAAAAACAATGTTTACACAATCTGAATTTTTTTACTTAAAACATTTAACATTATACTACTTATAAAAAAATTGAGAAATCAATCTAATTTAATACATGGCTATGAGTTATTAGAAGTTAAGACTCTTAACTCAAGAGCTTTTAGGATTCAAAATTGTGTGATAAATTTTTTTAATGTTTCATGAATTGAAATAAAAAAGGTTCAATGAAATGCTTACTTTCTAAAGAACATATAAAACTTTCTAAATTGTTCTCTCTAAAGAATATATAAAACTTTGTAAATAGCTTAAATAAGGCACAAGTAAATATGTTTATGGTAAGGTCACTACAATATTAAATAAAATATTTTCACCGCAGTGAGTGGCGAGTTTTAATTCAAACAAAACTCTGTTGTTTTCTGCTAATCATTATTGCAATAATCTATTTCTATATTGATAAATGGCAACCCTCTTACTAAGTCTTCTGCATTATAACTTGAAAAATTGCATTAATAGTTGGACCTGCTCTAACAATTAGAGGTGTAATATTGTCTCTTTCTCTTTTTTACAAACAAATAATACTATGGTTGTTTGCTCAAATTAATTATCATTTCTTGTTACATCTAGAAAAATTAAATCTTTTGTGATGTAGAAAAGTTGTTTTATCTTTTTAATGTTCTTTTAATATTCTTTTGTGCTCAAAAAAGTATATACATATATAATTTTTCTTTAAATTAGGTTTAATTCCTGGTTGTCAATCATATGCAAAAGATTTCTCAAATGTTTTCTACTCTGCAACAGGTTGCAGTTTCTATAGTCAGTGCTTTCCTCCGCAATCTGTACATTTTGGGTTTTCTAGTACATCTATGCATTGGCTTCAACAAAAGCCATGTAATATAACCAATGGATTGCATCATACTCAAATTACACTAGATAATGAAAAAAAAAAGTTTAAAGAACAAGCAGCTTATGACTGGCAACAACTTTTAGTACAGAGAGCCAAAGAGTTGAAGTCAGGTAATATTAAAAAATTTATTCATATTACTTATATAAATGTACATAGAAGCGCATAGATTTTTTTTTGGTAGAAATTAATTCTTCAGAAAAATGTACCTTGTTATTCTCGCCAGGATAGCAATATATCCAATTTTAGTCCTAACCCTGTTGTTTGTTTGTTGTTGTTTTTTTTTTTGCATTTTATTTTGGTTCACCAAGTGAACCAAAAACCCTATAATGCTTTTAAATGCTAGGTAGTCCTGTTTATGCTTGAATAAATAATGGATATGCCTTTTTGATCTGGTTTAGTTTGTGGTTTTTTAGTCAATCTTTTTTATGTATTAAAATCTTGTTTTAGTAGGAATGATACCATCATCATTAAGTAATTTTTCATACATTTTTCATATTATCCATGTTTCTTTTTGTTTCACAAAGTATACAATTGCCACTTCTTATTATGCTGATGAGTCATTGAAATTTTAAATCCTTTATTGTATCTTGAATATGAATTTTTATATTATTATAATTTTTGCCACAGACAACACATCTTTTTGGCATTGTATTCTTCTTATCAATAAAAATCTTGTCCCAACTATTGATAAGAAGAATACATTGTATTCTTCTTATCAATAGTTGGGACAAGATCTTTATCAAAATACAGGATTTTAATGATCTTGATGCATTTGATGAATAATTTTGCCACAATGTCATGTTTTTACTATTTTGATTGCATATTAATTTTAGGGGAATAAGTCTGTACAAAGTCTTACAAAGTTGTATGAGTCAGGACAACATGAAAATGGGTGAGAGTTATAACACATTTGAGTAGTGAATATGATAGTATTTGTAAACAAGAAAGAGATGCAATCTTACGGCGATGGAAGGGTTGCTCAAGCTTGGCTAATAAAACAGGTCCAACCTAATTTACAACGTGTTTTCAGACTTTGTCTGAGATAAGAATATCAACAATATAGGAAATGTTAACTATATAGTATATGTTATATATATATGTATATATGTATATATATATGTTATGTATATATATAGTAAATGTTAACTATATAGTATAGCAATATAGGAATAATAATATAGGAATATCAACAATATTGTGATAGTTGTTTGCAGTAAATAACTGAGTTTTGTTCAAGTTAAAATCCACAAAGCACTGCAAGCTCCAAGCTGTTACAGAGAGATAAGAGATCAGAGAGCTGTTACAGAGAGATAAGAGATCAGAGAGCTGTTACAGAGAGATAAGAGATCAGAGAGCTGTTACAGAGAGATAAGAGATCAGAGAGCTGTTACAGAGAGATAAGAGATCAGAGAGCTGTTACAGAGAGATAAGAGATCAGAGAGCTGTTACAGAGAGATAAGAGATCAGAGAGCTGTTACAGAGAGATAAGAGATCAGAGAGCTGTTACAGAGAGATAAGAGATCAGAGAGCTGTTACAGAGAGATAAGAGATCAGAGAGCTGTTACAGAGAGATAAGAGATCAGAGAGCTGTTACAGAGAGATAAGAGATCAGAGAGCTGTTACAGAGAGATAAGAGATCAGAGAGCTGTTACAGAGAGATAAGAGATCAGAGAGCTGTTACAGAGAGATAAGAGATCAGAGAGCTGTTACAGAGAGATAAGAGATCAGAGAGCTGTTATAGAGAGATAAGATTAAAGATCAGCTGCTTGTTCTGAGAAATCAAAAGGTCAAGACAGAGAAATCAAAAAGTCAAGACTAGAGTATAAAGTTGAGTTGCCAGCAAATAGAACCACTTTAAGTGTAATATTGTCAGACAGATTGTTATTAGTTAGTGACTGGGGTTCCGGCCCCAAACCAGCCCAACAAAGTTATAAGATTTAGCAGGGGTTGATAGGCAGGGTTGAGAAAAAATTTATTATATTTTGTGTATTATAAATTTAAGCATACATTTACTGTTTGTTAAATACTTACATATATTTTTAGACTAATTAATTTCCAACAAGGTTGCAAGCAACCACTTTTAAATTATGAGTTACTAAAAAAAAGTATAAAAAAAAATGAAACGGTTAACTGTTAGACATAAAAAAGTGCAGGTTGTATGAGTCAGGAAAGCATAAAGATGGGCGAGAGTTTTGAGAATTTGTTGATCTGCAAAGAAATAAACTAGATGAATGAAAGTTCTACAGCATTGAGACACATATATAGTAAAAAGATGTGACTTTGTTGGATGACAAGCCAAGCAAGAATGAGTTTTGATTGATTGGACTAGAGATGATAGCTCGTTTGAGCAGTGACCATGATAGTATTTGTAGAAAAGAGAAAGATATGTTTGTCCAACTACATTTACAATTTTTTTAAGATCTTTTCTGAGAGTGACAGGGTTGGAGGGTTGTTATTCATGAATATAGGAATGTCAACAAGATGGCAATAGTTATTAGCAGTAAATAACTAAGTTTTTTTGGAATTAAAATCCACAAGCCACTGCTTGCCCATCTCCCCTCCTTTTTTTAAAATGTTACAACCACTTATTTCACAGTTGATAATAGTTTAGCTCTCTTGAGAAGTTAAACACCTAATGTTTATTTCTCAAGAGAGATAAACACTAGGTGTTAATCTAGTTATAAAAATTCTGCTACACTTTCTATCGTGTTAAATAAGAAAATGCCATTATTGCAACTAATAACACAAATGGAAAAACTTTTATGTTAAATATGAAATAATGTTATCGGAGTGTTATATTTTAGTTAAAGTGATTAATGAAGAACAGAAATTATTTGAAAAGTTTAAAATGAAGTTTTTATTACATTTTATTAAAATGCAATAAAACAGGTAACTGGTTAACTAAAAAACAGGTAACTGGTTAACTAAAAAACAGGTAACTGGTTAACTAAAAAACAGGTAACTGGTTAACTAAAAAACAGGTAACTGGTTGACTAAAAAACAGGTAACTGGTTGACCAAAAAAAAGGTAACTGGTTAACTAACTAAAAAATTTTATTTTAGATTTAAATCACTTTGAGTAAAATATTTAGTTTTTTTTTTTTCAAACATAAAAAGTATTCATAATGATGTAAAAAAAAGGTTGCACAAACTTTTCAAATGATTTTCAAATGTTCTACTTTTTTTTTAACTTCCTAAAATTTTATTATTTTACATGTTAGTTTCACAATTGTATACAAAAGTTGCATACAAATTACTTATGATTATCAGTTTAATTGCATTTAAACTCTTCTTAAATATTTTAATAAGATCTAAAAGTTAAGATACACAAACAGGTTGAAAATTAGTGAACAAAGTGACATATAATAGGTATGAAGGATGGTTTTATTATCAGTAACAGAGAAATACCAAGAAGATTTAAAATTCTTTTTTTTTTCCATTATTTTTTATTAATACAGTTCAAAACATTTTACTTAGAGAAAATGTTGGTGTTTTTGAAACTGTTAAAGCAATGATGGTGGCCAGAGATCAACTCACAAGTTTAAGTTGGTGGCCAGAGATCAACTCATAAGATTAAGTTGGTGGTGAAGATCAACTCACAAGTTTAAGTTGGTGGCCATAGATCAACTTACAAGATTAATTTGGTGGCCAGAGATCAACTCACAAGATTAATTTGGTGTAAGGAAAGAATTGGGTGGTCTTTAGAAAAGTGAAAGCAAGTAATTTTCAGTAATAAAAGTAATTTTGAAATAATAATTTGAAATTTCTTGTTAAAAGATTTAAATCTAAAATGTATAGTAATTGCTTTGTCATATCAAAAATGGCAGTGGAGTAGCTGTGTGCAATATTCATACAGGTAGGATCAACCAACGCACCTTTATAGAGATGTTAGAGAACGGCATAGTTCCATCAGTAGACATTGTGATTGAATGAAATGAATGGTCACAATTTCAATAAGATATGGCACTGCTCACAAAGCTCATACAGTCAAAGCACAGATGAAAAAAAAAACTAAAGATTTATTGCCCTGACCAGCTCAAGGTCACATTAATATTACTCAAGGTCCAAATAAGATCCATAAATAGCCAAAATCAAGAGCTAGCTATCATTTGGAAAAGAGTTTTTTTTTTATCATTTGGAAAAGAGAATTTCAAAAATTGCAACAATCTTGTTAGTCAATACAAAAAAAAAAGATTGTAGCTTGCGAAAAAGCAAGTATGGGGTTTATTGAATAGTAATTAAGACATTATTAATTTATATTTTTATATATTTGGTTTATTGAATAGTAATTAAGACATTAAGCACATATACTACTTGAAGTAGGGTTTGCAGTAAGACTTAATAAGTTATTTAACTTTTCAGCCAAAAAAGACGACACTTTTAAAGAAATAGCATTTGCGGGTGTTAACAAATTTGTTTTGTTTTTTTATCAGAGTGTACTATGTTTCTTGCTAACTTTTTTATGTAATATTTGCTGTTGGAGCGCTTTGCGAAAAATTATTTGCAAATTTTGAGAAATGAATTTTACAAGCAAGTTGCAGAGGAAATCCGTAAAATCCAAAAAATCCCTATTTTTAAAAAGTTTTTTCCAAGCCACATTTCCGCATTTATATAATCGCTTAGTTATACCAATAACTGCAATTTTATTTCAAGTTTTACACAATTATAAAATTAGAGTTTTTTATTTTTCTATTAGTTTTCAATAATAATTAATTTTCAATTATTTTTTGAGTTATTATTAAACTTTAATTTGGCAAACTTTATTTAGAGAATGGGATTTTTTCACCTTTAAATTGGGAATTTGAATTTTATGAGGATTTGGGAATACCATGTTTGCAGAGCTCCACAGGGCTAGTTTACACCCTGATATATATATATATATATATATATCTATATATATATATATATATATATATATCTATATATATATATATATCTATATATATATATATATATATATATATATATATATATATATATATATATATATATATATATATATATATATATATATATATATGACACTCTGCAATGAAGCTACATTTAAAACTGTTAAATGCATTTTCTAATTTAAGATATTATTACAGGTGGTTTTATGGTCATGGTACAATTATGCATTGATGAAAACAATTACAGTCTCGGAAAAACCACTGTTAAAAACTCGATGTTTGGTGTAATGGATAGTATTTCAAGAGAAATGATTCAACTTGGCATCATTAGCGAGGTTTGTCACAATTTAAACATTTTTTTGGTCTTTTATTAAACAAACATTGTTTGAGTAATATATTTCTATATTATATACAGTGTGTTCAAATTTAAATTAACTTTTTAATTATTTAATAAAACTCATAATTTTTACAAAATAAGCAGATATCTTTGATGAATATTAAAGTAGCCATGCAGCAGTTGATAATGGAAAAGAATGTCAGATAAGTGACCGACTCTTGTAGCTCTACAGGCCTCTAATCTTTAGCAATATTTTCCAGGGCATATTGACCTGTAGTTTAATTTAAGTAATTTGCTTGTTGATAATGTTTTTTTTAGATGTTAAAAACGTATTGTGATGTTAAAAATATATTGTGATGTTAAAAATGTATTAAGATGTTAAAAATGTTTTGTGATGTTAAAAATGTATTGTGATGTTAAATGCTTTGAGTATTATTAGTGCAAGCTTTGTTCTTTAAAAAATCCCATTAAAAGAAATCAAATAATCTTGGTGGGTAATTTACAGTTTCTCTTCAAGAAATTATTTGATCTTATATTGAATCAAATTTCTTTTGATAATTATTTTGAACAAATTTCTCTTACAAAAGATTGTTTCTTTTTCTGTATGAAATGTTACACTGTTCTGTTGAAGTTACATATTCTGTGCATCAATATTTTCCAAATTGTCAAACAAAAAGTTAATAATCATTGTTAATAACGAGTACCATTTACAGTAACAGTGTGTCCAGTTTTATTTTCAAAGAAATTTGGACCAATTAATCCACCAGACAAAAAACCACATACCAAACAGCTACTTTTTGTAGATGCCGTTGTCTTTCTAATATTATTCATAGATTTCTTCACACCAGATTCAGCAATATTGTTTGTTTACATATCCACAAATTTCAAAGCTTTATCACTAAAGATCACTTTTTTAAAAAAATCATTATCTTTTGTTGCAAGAGCAAAATTAGCAAATGTACCTAATCTGTGATCAGGTGGCAATAGTTATTGTATTTTGTAAAACCTCAATGTAAAAGCCTTTAGGTATTAATTTGCCCATTAGCATAAATATATCCTTAATGGATCCTTGTGCAAAATACTGAATAAAGTGTTTTGTTTTATGCATAATTGCTGTGAACATTGACAAATTGATGTGTGGCTCTTTACTAATGCTTTCACTGACAGCAGCATCATTTTCTTGGGAATGACCACTGTAAATTTTATTTTTTTAATCTTGAAGTAGACCAGTTTCCTTAAATTTATTTGCAATATTTTAAATGATAGAGTTTGTTAAACAATTTTTTCTTCCATATTTTGTACAAAAATTTTCTCCACCTGTATATTTTCTACCCAATTTAAAATAATTTTTGACAATGCTAAACTGTCGTTCAATCGTATACTTCTACAAATTTACTAACTGCAATGTTTATACTTGACAGCTTTCAATAAATGGAAACCATTTTAGTGCAAAAAATACAACTGGCACAAATTTAAAAAGTTAATTTAAATTCAAACACCCTGTATAGCATAATATTGCTGTTTAGTATAAGTAAATTATTTTATAGGAGGAATACCACAACATTACTTTTATAAACTATTATCGAACTATTGAAGAATTCAGAGCACCTTTTGATTTGCAAGACTCTGCAGTGTTCAAATCAGGTTTAAAGTTAATATCAATAAAAACTGTGTTAGTCAAATGTCCATTTCATAAAGAATGGATGGAAAAGCCAACTATTGATAAAAATGCAGAATCTGCTCGAAAACATGCCGAGAAGTTTATATTAACTCTACGAACTTGGAGCAACACAACCTTTTTATCAGGTAATTGAAATGCAATTTAATGTACATAAAGGTGGCAAGGTCTCTAGTGTAAATATAGTAACATACAGCTGTGAGTATATATAAACAACATATGAGACAACAAATAGGTTTCATATAGTCAAATCTGTACATCTTTATTTTCTGTTTGTTTTTTTTTAATTAAAAATATATAGATATAGAGAATTTTTTAAAAACTTTATAAATTATTTTATTTATACTGTAAAATCACCTAAGCTCGGTCACCATGTAACTTTGGTCATTTCAGAATAAATAACAAAAATGCATGCATATTTCAATTTTTACAAACAATTTTTACAACAATTTTTACAAACTTTTTTTTCTACAATATATGTTGTCACTTCTTGCTTATGAATCATAAAAAATGATGTTTTATTTGATATCTGCTAAAATAATTTGTTTGCAAAACACAAGTTTTGAAATTATGCATATTATTGAAGTCTAGAATAAGCGGTGTATTAAATAAAACAATCAAATTTAACACTAGTATTATAAAGAGTTGTCAAGTTAATTATATTAAAAAAAAAAATTTTCTATTTTCAAATATTAAGTATGTTTTTTTTCAAAATCAGTGAAATTTTAAAATACTATATCTTATTAATTACTTCAATCGCTTAGATAAATTAAGTGCAACGTGTCACTAAACAATGCTAAACAAAAGACCTTTTCAGAGTTCCGATAATTTTGTGCGCGTGCATATTTAATTGTACGCCATGGTTTCTTATGAGCAGAATCGCATGAAAAAAAGTAAATACACAGATATATTATGAAAGCATTCTTGAGAGAAACAGTTGTTTATATGAGATTTTTTTTCTTTTTTTCATAATAAAGACATTGATTTTGCTTTATATAAGTTTATTTTAATTTTTTTAAGTTTAAAATTTATACTGCTTATGTTTGTGTTATTGAATATATATGAAAAAAATAAAAGCTCTTAAAGAGTGTGAAAATACACAATGATATTTACATATGTAATATAATATGTGCGCCCATGAAATTATCAGAACTGTGAAGACATTTATTGGTGGGAATATTGCAAAATGTTTAGTATTGTTATCAACTTCGACTAAGAGTTGATTAGTCGAAATTAGTCAACTTTGAAAAATCGAATAGTTGAATTAATCAACTATGGATTTTCCACTAATTGACTAAAAGTTGATTTAGTTGATTAGTAATCTTAAAATCATTATATCTATTTATTCAATTTAACTTTTTCGATCTTTAATTAATGTTTGTTTAATTAATAACAGTAACATGTACTGTTACAACTTTAACATACCTAACTTTTTGTTTACTATCTTAAACCTTTATCTAATTCATTGCATGTTATCAACATTTATACCTAATTAAACTTTCAGTTATGTTTTTCATTAACATTTTTTTTTTAATTGTTTTTTTATTCTATGCTTGTGATATTCTTAAATACTTTTATACAAGGATGTTCCATTGTCCCATCTTTGGAGCAGCCCTGCTCTTACATTGTTTAGTTTCATTAATATTTAAATTATGAACAAAAATTACTTTATTACTTTTATTACAATTTCTAAAAAAAATTTATGACCATATTTCGACTAAATTAACTTTTAGTCGACTTTCAAAAATGTATTAATTGATTTTAGTCGACTTTCAAAAATATTAGTCACTTTAGTTGACAGTCGAATTATTTAAAAGTTGTAACAACACTAAAAATGTTGAAAAATGTGACTTGAGTGTATGTGAACCAATTACAAAAAAAAATCTTGCACTGTATTGCACTGCATGTATTACACCGCACTAATAATTAGCTTGCAAATAAAAATTTCAAAAATGTGCATTTAAACTTCAAATAATCAAACTCTGAAAATAACAATAAAAATTTAACATAAATTAGTGATGAAGTTTAACATAGTATTATCAAGAATCATCTAAATAAATTTGTTTGCTAAAAATAATTTCTGATTTTTACTTTTGATAAAAAAAAGTTTTTTTATTTTATTCTAATTTCAAATTTGTGATATTTTGAAGTGTTATTGGGATGTTAAATTTGTAATATTGCAATGTGTTAATAGGAATGTATATAGTGACTGTACTTATAAGATGATATTCAAAGTTTGATCAAATTAGCTGTTCTCATTCAAAATAAAATAATAAATAAACAATATAAAATTAAATGTTATTTTTATTATGTTATTTTCACAATATAAATTAACAATAAAATTGCCTGCATAGTTCAGAAAAATTTAAGAAACATTTATGTCTGAGATATAAATGTTTAAAGTTTAAGTAATTGTCAAACTTTGGCAATTTTAAGGTATATAAAATAATTTTTAAAACCTAGTTTTGTTAGTTTATATAATAATGCTAAAAAAAAACCAAATCGCATTCTGAAATCAAAGAGAAAGTTTATTCGATTTTTAGGTAGTATTTTGGGTTTTCAATGTTAGGTTTTTAGGTAAAACCTTTTCGTCTAACCCTGGGATTAGACAAAAAGGTTTGAGGTGGATTAAAACACATTTCTCAATCCATTATAATTGTTAAAGTATTATTATTTAACATGATGAATTTTCAATCATAAAAAATCTGAATTTTATAAAAAGTTGTATTTTGTTACAAAAAAGTTTTTAAAAAAATAAAAGATTTTTCCCCAAATCTATTAACGTAAAATCGCCTAGGTTCGATCACTTAAGCTTTGAACATTTACTTATCACGCATAAATATAAAATTTTTTAATTTTTTTTTCCTGAAACAGAAAATTTTATTGATATTGTAAAAATAAAAAAATGAACAATAAAAACTATTACTCAATATTTAATTTAAAATGAAAACATCTACTTTGACCGAACTTTCAATACCATCTCATAAGTTCGGCCACTATATAAATACTAATATCGTATCACAAATTTAACGTCACAAATAATGAAAACGATTTTTTAAATGTTTTTTTATTGTAAAATTACGATATAAATTCAGGTAATACCAGTAACTAAGGAGGGCGTCGGCCCGGGCTCAAAAATAAAAGTCTTTTGGGGCACCAAATAAAACATGATGGAGCACATAAAAAAGGCCTTTTTAAATACAAGTAGTAGTATTTTATATTTTTATATTAACGTCAACTATTTTTTTACTTTGGACATAATCACATTTAATTCAATTAAAAATATAATTAATACAATTAAAAATATATATTTCAGTTAATTTAAAAAGATTTTTTTCAATTAACAAAAAAATACTTCTTTGCTTTAAATGAGCTTTGTATATTTACTGGCAATTCTTGCCAGTAAATATACATAGCAAAACACCAAGATCCACACAAGCAATCGTCACAGGGTTTGCATCGCATCCATTTGTCACAGGGTTTTGCATCCAATTGGGTCACAGGGTTTTGCATCCAATTTGTCACAGGGTTTTGCATCCAATTGTCGTTAAGCATTAATTTTATCTCCAAAAAAAATATCACAAGCTTGATATTTTTGAAAACTCAAAGAGCCGTCGAAATTACAAAACCAATTTTTTATTCAAATGAAATACCATGGTGCGTATCGATTATAAAAATGTTAAAGTTACCGGTAAACTTTACATTCGCAACACTTATCAATATTTCACAATATTACTGCTAATTGTCTCCGTTGTTTATCCGTGAATGACTGAAGTTAGAGTATTTAAAAATTTCACTAATTTTATTAAAAAAAGTAGTTAATTTTTAAAAATTAATAATTTTTTTTTGTAAATATAATTAATTTGGTAAATATGATCATATATTTTAATAGTTTTCTTATTTTAGATTTTAACAGTATACATTTTTTCAAATTGTTATTTTGTTAAAGAATTAATTTATCAGGTTGCATATAAATATTATTAGTTTTTTTGTAGATTCATATTTACGAACTAATTACAAAAATTATTTGAGAAAAAAAAGTTTATAAAATTTGAGTTTTGCATGCTTTTTTTATATTTTTTCTTAAATGACCAAAGTTACATGGTGACCGAACTTAGTCGGTTTTACGGTACTAGATAATTTTTATTTTATTTATTTTTTAAACAATTTGTTTTATTACACATTTTTTTTGAAATAAAACAAAGGATTTTTGCTTGGTTTATCAATTGTTTTTTTGTTTTGTTTTTAATTAAAAGGGATAATGTTATAATTTAAACTTAAATTGAAGAATTCTTGCTTTCATATAAAGGATTTTTTGCATTTATATTGAGGGATCCTTGCATTCATGTTTTTATTACGCTTTTTGGTGAAGTTTTTTTTTTTAATTTGTTAAATGTTTAATTTTTTTTTTTTTTTTGTATTGTGTGCGTTATAGCATTGTCAAAACATCGGTCAGAAGCAGAAAGACAAGATATAGTGGATAGGTTTTTCAACATTTATGTAAAACGTGTTTCCGATGATCCAGACAATCATGCAATGGATTACGTTCACGCGCATATTGTCATCGAAAAGATTTAGATTTAATCTATAGTGAAGTGGTTTAAAAACGCTTTTATTTGTTCGATTCTTATCGTTTACTTTTTCTGCTTTGGTTTAGCAATATTTATATACTAAAAATGGTACATTACGTCGAGCCGTTTTCCAGCATTTTGTTTCTTTTAAAGTTTACCCTGAAGTCCAAAGGCAGTTGAAACTGTCATTAGAGTAAAATATTATTATTTATCAACAAATATAACAATTAATTTTTCTTGAAAACCACATGCAAAAAACTGTCGTATTCTTTATTTATTTTTAGCTTTTTTTTTTTCAAAAAAAGAAATATTTTATAACTAATATTAAAAATTCATATAAGTACATATGTAAATATATATGGAGATAACAAAACAGTATGTTGTTAATTTTTTTTTAAACGTGTTGCGTGCGCTTTACTTATTGCACTGACGTTCGGGCGAAAATTGGTACCAAAGTCTGCATTGTCACAGAGTCTACATGCCACATAACTTAAGGTATAAGACCCCTCAAAAATCAAAAAATATATATTTTGTGTAATTATGACACGAAATTTATCGCTGAACTCGAATTTGAAAACTATTTCTCAAAGTAAGATTTAGTTCTTGATATATAAATCAATTCCTTTGACTGGGTAAACTTGATCTGCCTAGCAATACGCATAGCAACAGGTTTTTAATCAAAATTGCAAGCTTTTTTTTTTTCTTATCTAATAAACTTTTTAAACAATGGGTAAATCATGTAGAGTCGAACAAAGTAAAAAATCCATAAAACTTCATGAAAACAGATATACTAAAAATTTTCCAATTAATTCAACTTTATCAGTTGTTTCTGTTTTTAGTTATGAAAATGACCGTATTTCTTGTAATACTTCCTTAAATTTATCTTTATCCTTAAAAAAAATTGAGACAACTCAACATAATACAAATAAAACTGTTCGTTATCTAACTGCTGATATTAAAATTTTGTCTAGTGTAATCAATCAACTATGTTGCAAAAAATGTTTACAATCTAAATTAAATCTTTTAGAATGTTTTCCCAAAAAAAAAAGGATTCAGCCCAATATTAGATATTTGCTGCTCTAACTGTAATGAAAAAATTGAATTTTATTTTTCAAAGATTTGTTCTGGGAAAAAAAAACGTAAATAGAATAGTTTATTCATTGCGTGCACTTGCACGTCAAGGTTTTTCAGGATTAGAAAATTTTACATTTTTGATAAACATTCCTAAACCTATGAATAAAAATAATTGAAACAAAATAATCAAATTTCTCTCTGATTGCGCTAAAATTGTCGCAAAAGAAACAATGATTGATGCTGTGAAAGAAATTTGTCAATCTTCTTCAAATGTTGTTGACACTGCACTATCAGTTAATGGTTGCTGGCAACGTCGTGGGTTTTTCTTCATTAAATGGAGTTGTTAGTGCAGCAATATCAATTAACACAGATAAAATTCTTGCGAGCCAATGAGTCAGTCATATGAAACTAAAAATAATCCTCGTGCATTTGAAGCTTGGAAGTCATCACATGTATGTAAACTAAATTATCATGGCTCCTGGCATGGAAGTAATTGGTGCACAAAGATTATTTAGTCGTTCTATTTCACGAAATAAACAAAGGTATGTTAACTATTATGGTGATGGCGATTGTAAAAGCTATTGTTATGTAAAGGGTACTTATCCTGGTATGACAGCGCGTAAGTCGGAGTGTGTTGGACATGTACAGAAACGAGTCGGTAGTAGATTAAGAACTTTGAAAAAAAACGTTAAAAGAATTGCTATAATTGACCGCCTACAAAACTACTATGGAATTGCTGCTAGGCAAAATGCCAATGATTTAGAAAGTATGAAAAAGGTCACACTTACAACACTGTTCCACATCCGATAGTGACAATTTGTACTTGTAAAGAAATTATTGAATGATAGAGGAAGGTTTTTGTTATGATAATTCTGATGCAAACTACTGATGCATCTCCTAAAATCTCTTAATTCAATCTCTGAATTCAAAATCAAGCTTTTTAATTATTTGTTAAAAAAATACAATTAAATATTTCTACTAATTAATATTGAAATTCTTTATTATATCTATCAATTCGTGATACTTCAGTTTTGATATTTTTAACATTTTGAAATTCTTTACTTATCCATCTACATCTAATTCCTCTGGTTTTAGATTCCATCCTCCATTTTTAAGTTTTTTTATTAAATTTTTCATTCTAATATTATTAATATTAGTACTAATATTTTGAGATTCTTTATTTATCTATTTATTTATCTTTTTTCATTCAACTATTTTCTACTTCGTACTAAATCTAATAAATCATACAAGATCAAGTGTTTAACAATAAGGGGAATTATCTACGCCAGCCTAATAGATGAAGAAGGGATGCGAGGCTATCAACAGAAATTTTCTGTTTATCCCTAAAGATCTTTTACAAGACATTACTGTGTGCAATTAACATTTGCCCAACATGAGTATTTTTATTAAGACACTATCTCTAAACTTTACTCAACCAAGGTTTTACTTCTCTTAGGTTCACCCTAGAAGTGCAAATTCTACAAAGGCAGCAGGACATGGAACATGTTGTTTTGAATTACATCTACCAGTAATTGCGTGATGATGGTGATCCTGAAACTAACCGACCTTAAGTAGTTTAAATAAGTTATTTCTGTAAGCAGAAGCAACTTCTTTAAACTATAGTTTAAAGAAGTTAATAATTATCCGCTATATATATATATATATATGTATAACGGATAATTATTAATGTTATATATATATATATATATATATATATATATATATATATATATATATATATATATATATATATATATATATGTATATGTATATATAACGTAATAATTATCCGTTATATATATGTAACGGATAATTATTATAACGGTTTGTTCATGAAATTTCGAATAAACTTTTTTCCGCTCGATAATTAAAAATTACATTTTTTGGCTGAAATTGACAATCCTTACGACTTAATATCGTCCAGTCACGATTTATTGGTCAGCAATAACATTTACCGTTTAAAAAGTTGTGTAAGAGTATGGTTCCATAAAGCAATTGAAAAACTGCATAAAAAGGATCATTAGATCAATGTTCGGTTTCACTAATCAGATTTTCTTTATTATTATCACATCTGAGGATTGTTGGAAAGCTTGTTAAAATTGTTATTAAGTTTCACCTTTTTTTTTAGAAACTTGTGCTAATTTTCATGAAACACGGATTAAATAAATAAATATTATAAAACATGCATAAATAAACTTTCTTTAAGTTAAATAAATAAATACAAAGTTATGTGTACATAAAAAAGTCCTCAAAATTCATTACGTTTAATAACACGATGTTGTAAGGTAAAATAAAAAAGATTATTTTACAAACATATGAAAGATATAATACATATAAACCAATAAATATCATATTACTAAACTTTACCTAACATTAATTGATATATTGACGTTATTTTTGTAAGTTATTATCACAACTTGTAATATTTACTAAAGCGAATAAGTTATACAATAAACTGTTTGTAAATATGGATAACACATTTAATTAATAGATAAGCGTAAAAAAAATTTTTTTTTTACATTATTACTATTTCATAGATAATATTAAAATGGAAAAAACTCTGTAAACCAATGAAGAAAAAAGACATCTGAGGGTGTCTTAACCCAAGTAACCAAGCGTCTAAAGCTAGTTTTTTTGCTCGTTTATTAAACTTTCTTTACTTTCAATTAATGTGGAAATATTCTCTATAAAATATATAATTTCCTTATCTTGTCAGTATTGAAAGAGTAACAAACCTTTGCAATCAGCAGAAACCTACTGTCCAATTCCTCAAAAAATGTATAAAGTTAATAAAACCTTAACTAATGTTAAAACATTTTTTGTTCCAGGATATTTCTTTATTAATAGTAGAATAAGCGTAACAGTAAGTAATAGAAGAAAAAAATTTTCTAAAACTGGAGACAAAAGTGCCCTAATCACGTGATCAGATGACAAGTTTATGAATTTTGCACTTGGATTTTTTTTCAAATTTTTCTTTTTGCAAACAAAAAACTAATACAAGCAATAAACCATTATGCTAAAACAAAAAGGCTGACTAAAGATTATTGTTTTATTACTGTCAGTTTTGCAAACAATCAGGATTTTTAAAACTATCTTTTCCCGTCAAAGGGCAAATCCATCGGGGACGATGAGTTGATTGCCCTCCCTTCCTCTTTAGATATTTTGTTTGGATTTTTTTTTTTGTAAATTTAAATTATCAACACCTCATTTAGCTTGAAAACGGAGATAAATTAGGGTAGCTATTTAAAAGCAATTTAAACTTTTTATAAAGTTATGTGGTGCAAATTTAAAATTGAACTAGTTAGGATATTTGGATACATGGCGTAATTTCTTTGTTAAATAGATTAAGACACTATCAAGACTAATATTCTAAGAAAAGTCAGAAACTCAGAAAGCTTTATGATTTGTGGGTTTGCCTGCTTACAAGTTGTTAAACCTAAAAATGGTCCCTCATCCCGACTTTACTAGATGACCTGGATCCTCCAAATCAAAAAAAAAACGTAAACCCTCCCCCCCCCCCCCTCCTTAACTATATGGACCCGCTTCTGTCTTTCACTATTAATTCATCATTTTACTAATAGTTTTGTATGTTCGTAGTTGTTTTTCAAATATATATGTCTATACACATTTTTTTGTAGAGAAAATATCTTTTTATGTTTTGTTGGTTGAGTAATGCCTACTTTTCTATGGAATAAAGTATACTCTGTTTTAAATATATTTAGTAAGAATTTATTAGCCTTAAAACATTCATTGACATTTCTTAATTCGCAAGTTAATTTCAGAATAAAGCTGCTTGATGTCATTGTTTGCTAATAATCTTTAGTACCAAATTCAAAGTAGTTCAAATGCAATAGGTCATAATGTTCATGATAGTTTGATAAGTGGACCTTGTAAAAAAACAATGCTTTAAATATTAAATTGACATCGAAAACTAAACCAGAAAAATTAAACCAAATCCAACTTAGTTAAAAGAGGGTTTGTTCATTTAGCTGTTAAAATAATTAAAACAAAAAAAGTTTAAGTTTATTTAAAAATAAGTTAGTTAGACTTTGACAAAGTTTTCTTTTTCATTGCTAAGCAAAAAATAAAACTTGAGTATAAACAATCTTACTTTATTACCACTAAACTGTTAAATAAACTAAAAAAGAATCTAGAATAAAGTAACTGGGCTAACTACAGACTAAATACACTACAAAATAATAAACTGCAGTCATTTTCATTTAAAAGTATTTTTTTAATAGATTTAAACAAAATCAATTCAATCCAATCAAACTTGGTTTTATATCTACAACTAAAGCCAAAA